AAGGAACAGATGGAGGGTTTCGAGTTTTTACAAGATATGTAATGAGCAACAAGTTGCTAAGAGAAGTCTATATAAGACTTACCAAGAAAGCAATCAGAACACTAATACTACAAATGGCAAGAGATATAAGATTGCACTACTTCTGGAAGGACACAGGATGATGTAATGTAAGGTCATAATAAAAATTAAGTTAAATTTAGTTAAATGTAGAGTATTATGTATAAAATGGAGTGATAATAGTTATAGTCAAATAAATGAGTAATAATGATAATAATGCATATATATACACCAGATTGATAATATGAAACTTTATACAAATTTTGAGGACTATGGAGAGGATGTTTAAAAGCCTTGTTATTAAATATAAACAATTTTTATATAGAATTTGGTATAAAGATGTAATAATATTATGATTTTAGGAGGATGTAATGAAATGCCATAATATAGATTTACTTTAAATTTAGAATATTTTATATAAAAGGATGCCATAACAGTTATAATCAAATGAATGTTTAATAATCATAATAGTTTATATATATATTGGATTGATGATATGAGAATATGTGTAAATTGCAAGTGGGAACTATTGTGAGGAAGTACAAAGCTTTGTAACCAATCAACATACTGTATGTAACTGGAGGATGATTTTTATGTATTGTGTGCGTCTATGTCTGTTTTATGTTTATTTAAAAATTTATTTTTTTAAAAAAAGAATAAAGAAGTTGCAATCAACAATTCAACAGATTAAAAGTCTCATAGGTTTGGGTAAAAACTGATCTGGAAGAAAACACCAAAGTTTTCTTGTCGTTTACCTAATAACGTACTATGCAGAGTTTATCAAAAACAGTTGATGGAGCCAGAAAAACAAGGATATAGAAAGCTGTGAAACCAGGAAACGATTACTGTTTTCTAGTCTGCTCAACTTAGATAATTTCTGCCCAAACTACAACATAATTTTAAATGTTAAAAATATAAACGTGAATAGCACAGAAGAGATATGATATTCCAGTGTATATAGAAATTTCACTTTTTTAAAGAAATGATTGAGGGGTGGAAAGTCTATCATTAAAATATCATCAGTGTGGTCAGCAGATGTGTCTTCCTGTGTTGCACATCTCGAGGAGCTTCACAATTAAAATTCATTTTTAGCCAAATTGTGACTGTAAAATTTCTGCCACGAAGAGTCATGAGATCTGTTATTTAGTTGCAACTCCTATGGGATGGGGAATAATACAACAAAGCGGAATTTGTTGGGACAGATTATTCACAATGTCCAGCACTGCTTCTTATCATTTGCTAAAACTATATTTAGGAAATTTATGGAGTGAATATGTAAAATGGATTTTACAATCTTTAAATGCTTTGGATTAAGTATGTTTAGAAATATTATGTATAAAATACTTTTGAAAATCTGCATACAAAAATATTTGTACAAAAATGCTTACGTTAGCATAGACTTTTTCAGTTGTGGAATCCACTGTGTAATGGGGTTTTCAACTCAATATAATTTTGTGCAATGACCTTATTGTGGAATTCTGAGAGTTGAAGTCTATGCATTTGGAGAGCATCCGAAATAGTCTGTATTGGAGAGCCTGCCTGCCTGCCTGCCTGCCTGCCTGATCTATCTACTCTATCTCTCTATCATCTATCTATCATAATCAATGAGTCAGAGATAGGCATTCCTGCTTCTTGCTTTGTTGAAATCTATTGAAAAATTAGTGTCAATGAATTTGCAAGAATTATAACAGGCAATCCAAAGTAATTATCAGTGCTAGATCTCAGAATAATCAATCAATGAATCAATTAATAAGATATTAATCAATTAATTAATAAGATAACATTAATATACTACAAATTTGCCTCAATCTATAATGATGAATGTCCCTGTTGAAGAATAGTGTTTTGCAAAACTTTCAGCGTCAGTGGCTGCCTGTTGACTTTTAATAAATATTAATGATACATGAAAACCTCAAGCTCCATCAAAGAACAAACAAGGAATAATTACTATAGCTATTCAAGTTGACAAACTCTTGAAATCTGTTTACATAACAAGAACAAGCTTGCCAACTACACTTCTTTTTCTTGACAGATATACAAAGATCTCTAGTTTCACATGGTTTGAATCATAAGTTAATATGATAAAAATGCAACATAATGCTGAATTTTTCATAGGTTATAGTCTTCCCATTAAAGATCTGGAGTAAATCAATGCAAAAGAGACAGCTAAGACACTTAAGCCACTAAAAAGAAGAGCTAAAGTTACATGGATCTCAGGGTTTCTTTGATATCATTCGTATTGATTCAATTAAATGTAATTAAAATTATGCTATCTGTAAAAAACATGGATTACATACACAGCAACATGTTTCTGCCATTTCTGTACAGAAGAAAATAAGGAAAGTTCTGGATGTATAACTAGCAATAGTCTATATCAGGGGTGTCACATTCAATTTCATTTTAACATCAGGGTTGTGATTGACCTCAGGGGCAAGGTGNGTAACCCCTCCCAAATACCATGCCCTCCCTCCCCGTTTCATGGCAGCCGAAGCAACAGCAAAGCATTTTCATATGTGATTGCATGTGAATTTAATTCAAGCCAGTGTTGACTCCTGGCAATTATCTGGACAAGTCTGCAGTATACTTGCAAGGGTTTTTTTTAATAAATGGTTTGGCATTGCTTTCTTCTTAGAGCTGAGAAGGTATGACTGTCACACAGCTGACTTTGTGTCTAAGGAGGGACTAGAACTCTCAGTCTCCTGGCTTCTAGCCGAATCCCTCAACCCCTGCACTAAACTCTTACATATTTATTGGCGTAAAATATGTACCATATAGCAGAAGGTCTAGCTCCTTGGCTCTAAATAATTTAACTTCTATAGGGACGTCATGAAAGGAAATCTATAAGCCTGAAATTTATTGAGTTTCTTGTTTCCAAGCAAATGCTTGGTCTAAAAGATTCAAAGTATATTTGTGCTCCCCTAAAAGTAATGATTTTATTGGGGGCTGGACAAGAAATAAATATGTTTCAAATAAATCAATTATAGAATTCCAGAGCTGTATAAATATAAAATGATTAGGTTTTTTTTTAAAAAAATAACATGTTTAATGGGAAGGGCAAGCTTGCTCACCTTCACATAATTACTGAAATTCAGTTTCCATTTGGAAGGCTGCCACTCCCATTTGCTAAAGTCAGGAGCAGAAAAAATAGTGTTGACTTGCCTTAAATCATGGGTGTCAAACTCGATCTCATTACGTGATGTATCATGACGTATCTTGGCATTTTTTGCCTATGCAGAGCCAGGTGGGCGTGGCCTGCTTGTGATGCATCTGACCTGCGGGCTACAAGTTTGACAACCCTGCCTTAAATTGTCTTCTCCAAAACTTAAAATGCTGCTCTTTGCAAAAATACTGGCAGGTTGTAATTTGCTCTTGGGACTCTCCTAGTAAAGCTAGGAGATAAAGATACAGCCCATCTTTTCTTTTCCTTCCAGTCCTTTGCTTGATGCTTGTAATTTCCCCCACTTTCATTTTTACAATTTTCTTCTTGTGTTCTTTCATCTGGAGTGGCTGCCCTGAACCACAGTAAGTCAATTTTTGTTAATTGCATTTTTTGTCTCTTCTTTTTGTGAGCCCCTTGCTCCCCCTTTACAGTCCTGAAGGATCATGTGACTGTTATTATCAAGGAACTTTTACCAGGTCAGCAGCTGATTCAGGATTAACTTTCCTTCCTTACTGCAGATAAACCAGCTAAAAGGTTTTACATACTTCTTCAGTCTTGTCAATGAGAAACAGAAAAGTGAGAGCTGCAATACTTTAGTAAGTAGATGATGGGAGGGCCATCTTCTACTATGTGCAAATATTTTGTTGCTTGTTGTGTATTGCTGGCTAATTATCATGTGCCTATGTTTTCCAAATGTATATTTAAAATATGCGAATTTGTATATTGGGGACTGTTGATTTATAATTTAGTCCCTCAAGGACATCTCTTTGTACTATATAGAATAAACCGGTTTACAGTTTCCTACCTTGTATGATAATTGGCTACTTTGCGCCAGAGTAAAACAAATCCAGCACACACTCCCATCATAATTCCTTTTGCAAAGTGAGTGCAAATGAGACACTCAGACCAGAAGCTTTATTTAGAAGCCTGGTGGCCTTTGAAAGCCAGTGTCTTAAACAAAAAGTGTATTCAGGCTGCATTCAGGGCTCTAAAAACATTGTGTTGCTATGTATTCAGCATAATTTTACACCAACTGGCTATTCTGCTTGGAAAAGACTTGCAAAGATTGTCTGGGAACTCTCTTCCCATGGGTTTATATAATCCTGAGGTTCATAATCTATGCTTGGAGAGACATTGCCTCTGTATCCATTTCTTTAAAGCTGAATGCTATATATGGTCTTTGATATCCTGTGGGTTTCCTCCAAAATATTGGTCAGATCAAGGGAAAAATGTTTTATTGTGTTTACATTCAAGGAAGTTGTAAAAACCAGTATGGCGTTGGTCTAAGAACGAGGAGACCTAAATTCACACACCCATAGAAATTCAATGGATTACTTTTGGTCTATCACTCTTTCTCTAATCCCACTATATTGTTGTATGGAAAAATGGAGGAGAAAGTGTTATGTATACCAGCTTTAATTCCTGGAGGATAGAACTAAATCTAAAAAATAATAATACATAAAATTAAAATATGATACTTGACATAAATAACGGGTGAAATGCTACCGGTTTGGGCCAGTTCACCCAAACCAGTGGTAAAAAAAATGCTACCGGTTCAAATGAACTGGTATTTCTGACGATCAGTTGTGATGTACAATTTTATTAGCTAGAAAGCAGGATTTCCTACTTTCTAGCTAATCTAAATCGTGTGGCACAATGGATTCCCTCCCCCTTGCTGTTCTACTTACCTTTGCAGATGCGCTCGATAGCAGGCTCCGCCCATGCACCCGGACATCACCACATCTGTTTTTGATGTTCTGCACATGCACGGAAGCTCCTGCGCATGCACGGAGGCGATGAGTGTGAGCAGAACAAGCGAGCATGCTCCTATATTTGCAAACCAGTAGCGAAGGTAAGTAGATTTCACCCCTGATAAATAGACTAAACTGTCATTAAAGGGTGTATATAAAAAGTTAAACAGGATGTGTTCATTCTATGGCCTTCCTAAAACAATAGGGAAAATAAAGTACAGCTTCCTTCCTGCCATCTCATATAGAAATAAAATGTTTTGTTAATATGACACTAATGTGCCACTTCCAATTTTGTGAGTGGAATCTTCAGTAAACAACTCATAACAAAGATACAGTAGATTCAAAGGTTGAAAAAACAACATTCTTTTCATTCTTTTATTTTGATATTTCCCCCTCAGACCACGAATGTAACAAAACATGAAAGCACTGCTGAATATAAATTGTCAAGTTGTTTGGCTTGAAGGAGAAATTCAGCACAATGCCTGATGACCTTTTCCATACACATTATAGCGGGCAGTAATGAAAAGCAGGAAAGATTATTATTATTATTAAAACAAGCCTGAGGCTTTTCTTTCTTTTGCATATAATAGTTATGCAATAGTATAAAAAATATTAAAAATAGATGGTATGTAAATTATTGAACCAACAAACCACTGTTAAGGCCTGGTATCAAGCTTTTGGTCACATTTGTACAAAATCCAGATATTTTTAACTCATTTACTGGAATGAGGAAACCACTCTCCATGGTGATTAAAACCATATTAATCGTACTTCATGATTCATATTTAAAGCTGCCTCAAATGTGTATGTAAATAGAAAGGAGAAGATTATTGTTATAAATATTATAACTATGTGATTTTGTAAAATTATAGTGATAAAACATAGAAATGATCTGCATTAAAATGGAAATTTGCTTTCTCCAATGACATAATAGATACTAATATGTTCAATTCAACTACTCATCCCATTCCCCATTTCAGTGTATTAAAAGCAGTTAGTACAGCATACTCAATGGATACAGACTAATTTCAAAATGAGTTATTCATTTCATTCATCAATGATTGCAAACATAGAGGTCATCCTTGACTTACAACTGGTCACTTAGTGACCTTTCAAAGTTACAACAGTCTTCCCCGGGCCACTTACAATCCAGATTCAAAGTTCTGATAGTTGCTGCACCATGGGCACTTGGCAATTGATCCTTGCAGTACCCCTTAGTCACATGACTATGATTTATAACTTTTTTTTGCCAGAAACTGATGTTAATTCATTGTCATTTGCAAACAATGGATTCAGTTAATGACATTAGCATTTGCTTAACAACCACCACAAAAATGATCATAAAATCGGACATGGTAATGTGGTGATCCACTTAATGACTGGCAACAGCTATAATTGTAATTACAGGTAAACCAAGTAAACACTACTTTTTAAAAAATAAGCTTCCTAACATACCGAGGTAGCACAAAGGGTAGTGTCAAAAAAACAAAAATAAAAATTACAGCTGTGACCATGCAATCAAGGTCTTGTGTGATGGTGCAGTAAGAGCTGTGGTGGAACAGGGGTTAGAATGCAGTATTGCAGGCTAACCTGCCCACAGCCATGAGTTTCTTTAAGTTCCAATAAGTATCTTACTGAAGACATTTAAAAGTGATCCACACCTATGAATAGGCTACTTCCTAAAATTACTTTCCACCCCGATGAAACATCTGTTGATTATCTCAACCCAACCTACTACATAATTATAACCCATCACTCCTCAAAACTAACACTAATTTGTTACTTCTCTGAAGTACAAAAGTTTGGGACATCATTAGCCATAAAATATAGATTCATAAACCTCTCTACTCAGAAATCAGACATTGATATTAAAGTGAATTACTCAAGGGTATGAACAGAGCTGAGGAAGCAGTATTTTAACCCAGATGTTGTTGAATGGAGGTCTTAAGAATCTCACTGATCAGTCTACCTAATAAGGTAGGAAAGGGTACATTTTTTCATCCTTAAATAGATTAGAGTGTCACTAATAGTAGCCTTATGAATGCAGAACAACCTGCACTATTCAGATAAGTTTTTATTAATTTATTAGTTCAGCCTTATCCCACTCAAATGTATGCCCTACGATAGTCCTGAGAAGCATCTTTAAAAACTGGTGCTTTGTCTTAGAAAATACCTGAGTGGGAGGATCAATTTGACTTTAGAAAGAGTGCAGAGAAGAGCAACAAAGATGATTCAGGAACTGGAGACTAAAACATATGAAGAACGGTTGCAGGAACTGGGTATGTCTAGTTTAATGAAAAGAAGAACTAGGGGAGACATGATAGCAGTGTTCCAATATCTCAGGGATTGCCACAAAGAAGAGGGAATCAAACTATTCTCCAAGGCACCTGAGGGTAGAACAAGAAGCAATGGGTGGAAACTAATCAAGGAGAGAAGCAACTTAGAACTGAGGAGAAATTTCCTGACAGAACAATTAATCAGTGGAACAGCTTGCCTCCAGAAGTTGTGAATGCTCCAACACTGGAAGTCTTTAATAAGATGTTGGATAGACATTTGTTTGAAACGGTATAGGGTTTCCTGCCTAGGCAGGGGATTGGACTAGAAGACCTCCAAGCTCTCTTCCAACTCTGCTATTGTATTGTATTGATGGAAATTTACTCCATTTTTAAAATATACAAAACTAAAATATTGCTGAATAAGTGTCTAACAAAAGACAGCATCCTCTGTGGCACTCCAAGAGTTGCTATTTCTCCAGATAAAGTCAGACACACTTTGTTTCTCTGCCCATCCATCCATGGCAACTACTCCTACTGCAGAATGAAAATACTGCAACTTCAGAACACATTTGCCTAGCAGCACTCATAATTATAATTTCCAGGAATTGGTTTATAACAGTAGGCAGTAGAAAACATGGGAGAGAAATGAGGGAAGAGAAATAAGAGTGTGGGTATATTATATCAAAATAGCATCAAAATAATGTGTTGGAGAACATGATATGTAAATCTAGAATCAATACCCCTGTAATTTATTAAGTGTGATATATTCTGTTAGAATATTATTTAGATAATTTTTAAACATAATTTTAAATAATATGATATAAATTTGTTTGAAAAATTAATAATCTATTACTATTTGGGCAAAGTCAAAGATGTGGACTCAGTTTAAGGTGTAATATGTGGGCTCAGGCAAATACACATCAGAAGACATTAAGGAAGTGACAACAGAGTGGTGATACACATTGATACTGGGTAAATTCTGGGGGGAAAAGTGGCTTCTATAAGATATACAATGAGTACTCGCAAAGACCTTGAAGCAACCTAGTGTTAGTCCTGCGAAGTAGTCTAGAGAAGAAATAACCAGGAGTACTATCTCTATCTTTACATTAATAAAAGTTACATTAATATAAACTTGCAAGATTGAAAGTATTTCTCCCCTCCTTTCCTTTTACTCTCCAGAAAACTAGAAGTCATTTCTGAAACTTTCACCACACCCTTCTTCCTTCTCTGGGCTGAGGTTGTCAGTGTTTCAAATACCATGTAGAATTAAATCAGAGTCAAAGGCAAAACTATGCTTAAAGTTCCAATTTAATAAGATGGCATCATTCTGTGGGATTCCAACTCTGGAAGTTACATCAGAATCCCACTCAGTTAAAAGTTCATGATCTTGTCCCCATACCCATAGTCCATCACATGGTCCAATCCATGCCCAGCTTCTTCCGGTCAGGTGTACTGGTGCGGAGACAAAGGGTGACCTTGCTTCTAGTAAAGATAGCAAAACAACAGCCACTCAATTCCTCTCC